GGTTCTGGGGCCAGTCCTTCCTTTCCAATTTTCTCTCATCACAGAGTCCTTTTCTCTACTCTCCAGAGCACAGCTAGGGGCCGACTCCATGATTCAAGCAAGAGAGCAGTACATTTCCTAAGGTCTCAGTTACTCGATTTTAAATAACACTGTAATAACAAAGAGTATAATGACAAAGGTAAGTAAAAACTCCCCAAATGTTTGGAAATTAAGCAACACACCTGTAAAAAATCTATGGGCCTAAGTAGAAATTGCACCGGAAGTTAAAAAATATTTTGAATTGAGTAATAATGATATAGCATATCAAAATGCAGAGGACATAATAAGAGGTAATTATGAATGACTATGCCAATAAATTTGAAATTTAGATGGAATTAATGAATTCCTTGAAAAACTCGTTATGAAATAGTTCTATATTTATTTTCAAAATTAAGTCTATTAAAAGTTTTTTCCTCATCTCCCCTCCCCCTACCCCAAGAAAAACAGGCCCAGTTGGCGTCACTGGTGAATTATTCCAGATATTTAGAGATGAAATGACATTTAAAATAATTATTCCAGAGAATAGAAAAAGATTTATAAAGCCGGTTACAATTTTTTTTTTCTTTGTGGTGAGAAGTTCTAAAATCTACTCAGCAACTTTTAAATATGCAACACAGGATTATAAACTATAGTCACTATGTTGTCACGTGGACCCTTTCTAACAGTATTTTATCATCTTTGTAATAAAGTTCTAGTTTAAATTTTATGATTTACGATGTGTCCTTTTCTCTTTTTAAAACTAGTATCACAATATAAAGGTGGGGCTGGGTTGGAAGGAAGGCTTTACCTCACTGGAGAGGAATCCTGTCTTTACCTGAGCATGGCCACAAAAGATATCTTATCTAGTTATGTTTGGACTTGTACCAAAGACCCAGGCAGGATCTATAAACCTAACACAAAGAATCATGTGTAGTTAGTGTAACTTTGAAGATGGATATTGTAATTCTCTTCCAGTATCATATTAATTTTCACCTAATTTAAAATTCCCATTTGATAACCTAAAAACCTTGGACATTTGAGATAGCTCTTCCTTTACCCTCTTCTCTGCCATGACCTTTACACACAGAAAAGGAAACCACCAGACAGGAGGTCAAAAAGGTAAGCTCCCGTTTTGTCTTTGCTGCTTAGGAGGCTACAGAGATTACTTAATCTCTTTTGAGTCTTAGTTTCCTCAGCTCTACATAGTTAGTGTCCCCTGCTTCAGAGTAATTACATGTTGAAAAGTGTAAAACGGAATGTAAATACAGGCTAACATCATTATATTATTAGTAGTAATTGTTATCTGTAGGTTGCATTCTAAATATAACAGATAAAGCATGTACACTAGTGGTGCTTAGGCTTGGGGAGAAACAGGGAAATAAGGTCAGAAAGACTAAGGCATGGACAAATAAACACAGTGGTAATTCTAAAAGGATAAGAAAGGGCAAAGTTGCAATCTTAAGTCAATACAACCTTTCGCATATTCTCAATCTTGATGTAGTAAACATCTGGTCTGGCTTTTTTGTTTGGTTGGTTTTGTTCTGTTTTCCTGCCTTATAACCTGCCCCTTTCTGCTATCAGAACCTCTTTCCTTGGAGAACTGCTTCTCCCACACTCCATGGTTTTCTGTGGGCTGCATTGCATCGTGTACTGTGTGTACCTGGCCAGGGGTGGATAAGCCCAGGGATTTGCAAGTGACCCAACCCAGGGAAATCAGCAAACATCCTTTCTTGAAATTGTTTATATAGATCCTGATGGGAAAAATTTATTTCTGGAGTTCTAGATGAGAGTTTTTTTTGTTTTTTGTTTTTTTAATGCAGAGCTCTTTTGTCTGTATAATAAATAACTACATCTCTTCATTCTACCTTTCTTGCTGCACAGAGGCACTGGCGATTGGGCACTGAGATCATCATCTTTCGAGGCATCTGAACCCATTCCTCCCACACCTTCACATTTTTCTTCTACACACCGTATCTGTTTACTAGATAATGGAGTTCCCAAGAAGTTAAGAACAGGTATTAAAGGACTCTGGAATTATTTGAAAAGACATGATAACTTGATTTAAAAGAAAATCTCACACACTTTCACTTTTAAAAAAGTGTATTTGATCAACAGTGGCATCTCCAGGTACCTAAAATACTTATTTTGTTATCGCCCAATATCTGATTAGTGTTCAGATTTTTCCAGTTGGCCTTAAAAATTTGTTTTAACCTTTGCATTGTTGAATAGGGATTCAAATGATGGAACAAAGGTTTTTATCAAGCACGCTGGGTGGTTACATTTTACCTCTCCTCAAAATAGGCATTTCCCTGTTACTGTAACATCCCGACGAGCAACACAATTTAGAAATTCAATGTCTCTTTATGTGCTTTAGAAGTACCAGATGAGGTTCTGGCAATGAAATTATGGGATAGATAAGCATAAGTAATGGCTTGAATGTACTCCTTGCACATGAGAACCCAAAAGAGAGCAGTGACAAGGAAACATTTGTTGACTTTACAGCCTTTAGGGTCTCCTTACCTTTGTTTTGACCTGGTGGCAAACAAAAAAAGACCGCCACCCCCCACCCCCGCCCCGTTTGCTTTGCCAATATCTAATAAAGTCCTGAAAATTTATAAGGAAAATGAGTTAATATAGTTATTAAAAATATTCCTGGCTTTATTTGCAACTAACATCCTTATCTTTGTCCTATATGCCCTCGTTTGTTTTCGAGTATAATCAAGGACCCAGAATATCCCCTCTAGGTATAAATGAATGTATTTATTTTGTGTCCACTCAAGCATGAAAGGATTAAAACATTGTTACCGACAGCATATAACTTTCTTCGCCTTTACAATGAAGAGATGCCAAGGGATGAGGAGTTAGAGACTTTTAACCATGCACAATCTCCACCCATCTCATTAAATAAATGAACAATGTAAGCGATCCACGTACTTGCTAAGCAAGGACGGCATTTTGACAAATCCCCTGCCCCCTCCTTCCCCCTAACCAGACCGTCGTCCTTAACGTCCTCCCAGAGTTAACACTGACACCAACCATAGTAACCTAACATTTACTTATTTCATTATTTCAGATTCCTACTATCCCTCTCCTAACCTGACTACTGGGTCCAAAACCAGGTATGGTTCCCCACCCCACCCCACCTCGTGTTTATTCTCTCTTTACTATTCAGCTCTTGACAAGTTGTTGGTTTTTTGTTTCTAAATCTGTCACAGGAAGATTCACGACGTGCATCCACCTAGCTTGGGGACTCCAGAGGTGTGACACCACCGCCCTCGGCTATCGCCTTTACAGCGCGCTCCTTCCCCTGTCTTTGCTGGTGGTATCGGCATTGGCTAAGTGCCCAGGTTCTGATCTGGGACCAAAACTCATGATCTTCTGGCGCAGGTTCTGCGAACTGAGTCATTCTGGCACCGAGAATATTCCGTGACTCAGCAGGCCCGAAAAGGAGGATGTCAGATCCAGATAATTTCGAGTCTTTTAAAGGCAAGCTGGGGAACATAAACAACACAGTGGAAGAATTTCGCAGTGGGTGCGTACTCAGGGGAATAATGTCATTCCATTCCCAGCCTTTTCACTTCCTTCCCTGCCCCGGTTAAACGACTGGTTACACTTTAATTTAGAGGCAGGAAATCACTTCACAAAATTCATACTGATGCTGCAACCCAGCCCTCTATTCTCCGGGGATAGGGTCAGCCCGCTGGACACCCCGGTCCCTCTCCTCGGACTCGGGGGAGAGAGTAGGAGCGGGGCCGGCGCAGCTGGGGTCTTTCG